CCCTAGAGACACGTGCAGAAGCCGGCGCATCGGCTTTTGGGCTCTGGTTCCACAGCAGCTTCTAGGGGCGGGTGTCTGCGACTCCCAAAGCCCAAGTAGACGTGTGTCACAAGGCTCTTTCAGATTTGCTGTCTGCAGACGGCTTGTGTGTTAATCAGCTCAATGGACCCTCTGCCTTCTGTATCCCCAGCTGTTGCCCAGTGTCCTGAAAGAATCGGATCACACGCAGACTCGAAGGATGAGTGCAGGGTTTTATTGAGTGATGGAGGTGGCTCTCCGGGAGATGGATGGGGAGCCAGAAGTCGGGGATGTAGTGGGAAGGTGGTCTTCCCCTGGAGTCGGGCTGCCCAGTGGCTGGACTCTTCTCCGACCGCCCCCGGATGAACTCCCCTCGGCGTCCAGGCGTCCCTCCTCTTCTGTCTTTCTCTGCCGCATTGGTCCGCCATTGCTGCTCTGCTAGTCCCAATGTCCCCTGCTGGGGAACGGCCAAGCTGCTTGTGTGTTCCCGCTAAGGTGTTGGGTTTATATGGGGGCAGGATGCGGGGGGCGGGCGTGGGGGGCCAAAAGGCAACGTTTTGGGCTCAAAAACAGAAATGTCTGTCCTCATTTAGGGCTGTGGGTCTTCAGGCTTGAGGGTGGGGCCTTTGCTGGGGAACTGCCCTCTTCTACCCAGTATTTCCCTGTCTCCTGTCTGTATCACTATAACAAAAATACCCTAGACTGGGTAATTTATAAACAACAGCAACTTACAGCTTACAGTTCTGGAGGCTGGGAATTCCAGGATCAAGGCACCAGCAGGTTTACTGTCCCGTGAGGGCACCTCTGCTTCCTACGTGATTCCTTGCTGCTGCGCCCTCACATGGCCAAAGGGGCAAGAGGCCTCCTTGGAGCTGCTTCTTTTTTTTTTTTTTTTTTTTTTGGAGTTTTGCGCTTGTTGCCCAGGCTGGGGTGCAGTGGTACGATCTCAGCACTCTGCAACCTCCACCTCTTGGGTTCAAGCGGTTCTCCTGCCTCAGCCTCCCAAGTAGCTAGGATTGCAGGTGCCCATGATCACACCTGGCTAATTTTTGTATTTTTAGTAGAGATGGAGCTTCACCATGCTGGCTAGGCTAGTCTTGAACTCCTGACCTCAGGTGATCCACCTGCCTTGGCCTCCCAAAGTGTTGGGATTACAGGCGTGAGCCACTACGTCCAGCCCTTGGAGCTTCTTTTAATCCCATCATGAGGGCTCTGCCCACTTGGCCTAATCCTACCAACACCATCACACTGGGGAGTAAGTTTCAAAATAAGAATTTAGGGGTGGGGGGAACAAACATTCAGACCATGACAGAGGAATAAGTTAAGTGACACCTGAAGGAAGTAATCAGATAAATCCAGAAAGTGATGTGTCACCAAAAACCCAACACAGTTTCATCAGCAAATCAGTGACGTGAAAGAAAGAGGTTGGGCAGGGAGAACCATTCTAGATGAAAAGAGGCTTAACTGGAGCTGACGGTAATTCACTAATATGGGTTTCTTGAGCTTTGACAAATACCATGATTATGCAAGATGTTAGTATTAGGGGGAACTACTTGAAGGGTGTGCAGGAACTCTCTTTCCAACTTTGCAACTTTTCTGTAAATTTAAAATTATTGCAAAATGAAAAGTTTACAGGAGAGGAGGGGAGAGGAAGGGAGAGGAGATAGAGGGAGATTTCAGATACAAAAACATAATTCAATGTGTGGATACTGATTGATCCTGGTTTAAAGTCCCAGCTGTACAAGACACTTTTGAGAACATTGGGGAAATTAAATTTGGGTTGTATGCTATTGATTTTAAGGAATCATAATTAATCTCATTAGGTTAAGGTTATATTAAAAATTTTCTTAAGAGATACTTACTAAAGTGTTTGGGTAAAATGTCATGCTGTCCTTAATTTAAAATATTTGCACAAAAAAAATTTGTAAAAGGTGAAAGGCTGGGTACAGGGGTTTATGCCTATAGTCTCAGCTACTGGAAGGGCCAAGGCAGTAGGATCACTTGAGGCCAGGAGTTCAAGACCAGCCTGGGCAACATAGGGAGCCTCTATTGCTACAGAAAGTAAACAATAACAAAGTTAGCTGCGTTTAGTGGCACGTGCCTATAGTCCTAGCTACTCAGGAGGCTGAGGCAGGAGGATGACTTGAGCCCAGGAGTTCAAGCCTACAATGAGCTATGATTGCACCACTGCACTCCAGCCTGGGCAACAGAGTGAGACACTGTCTCTTAAAAAAAAAAAAAAAAAGAAAAGAAAAAAAAAAAGAAAGAAAAGATGAAGCAAATATAATAAAATTTTGATGATTGTCATATCTTAGTGATAGGAATGTGGAGTTTATTACACTTTCCTCTCTATTTTTTTGTATGATTGAAGGTTTTCATAATAAAAAGCTATATAATTACATGTCAATTAAAAAACAAAGAGTATTGAATGCCTGTTACCTGCCTCATGTTTCATAATGTTGTTTCATTATGTCCCCAAACAGCCCTGTAAAACAGATTCATTACTCACTTTTTAAAGAGGAGGAAAATGAGGCTCAGAGAAGTTTGATGTCTTGTCCAAGATCATAAGCCAGACTGGGCAGAGCTAGGATTTGGCCATGAGAGGCCACTGTGTCCCACGGTGCCTCTGTCGGGGGAAAGGACCTGAGGTCTGGGTAATTAAGTTGTTGTGGAGACCCCGGGAGCAGGGATTAAACAGAGGGCCCCTAAGCTTATATCCCAGGGGACCGAGAGATTACCAGAGAAGGCCAAAGGCAGAGCTGCTTTGGGAAATCAAGTTAAGGAGTTTCACTTTAGACAGTGATAATGGCATGTTTTACACTCTTTTACTTGCCTTGCTTTATTTGAATCTTCATGAATCTACCCTTCTTGTAGACAGATGTGTCCTTTTTACAGATGGCAGACAGGCTTAGAGAGGTCTTATCCAAGGTCTCACAAAAGACAAGTTGGAGAGCCAGGACTAAGACCCAGACGCTGGAGATGGTTTTCTCCATCAAACACCTATCTCCACGGTGGGGAAGGAGGCAGGTAGGAAGAAGGCCTGCACACCATCACCCAACTGTGTTCAACTGTGTTGGATGCCGAGTGATAGCAGAATGCACCTTGTTCCTGCCCAGGGTGCTCAGTTGGTTGTAGCTGCTTCCACCAGCCTCACTTGGGGTGCCCGTGGGGCCCCTTCAGGCCTCTAGCTCCCTACTGTCTGCCTGCCCACAGCCTCCAGGTCTGAGATTCGCTCAACTCCTCTGCCTTCCATTTCTGCTCCATATCCCCTGATCAGATGGCTTTCTCGGACCTGTTCATGTAAACTTCAACCCCCTCCCTTCCCATCTTTGCTTGCTTTATTTTATTGTCATCTGTCACATTACACATAATGTATTTATTTTTCTCTCTCACTCTCTAGAATATAAGCTTCATGAGGGCAAGGACTTTGTGTTATTTACTCCCATCCCTAGTCAGGGCTCCATAAATATTTACTGAATGAATAAATGTACACATAAATCAATGAATATAAAAATAATGAAATGATAAATTGTTAGGAATTTTTTTTCTACTTTTGAAATATGTTGCTGGGAAGTCTTTTAACAGGAAAAAAATAAATATATTTCCCATCAGTATCAAGCAATTAAAATGCTCTAAGTTTGACAAGGTGTTACAGAGCTGAAGACTCAGCCAGCAAGTCTGAGGGCTGGGAAATACCCCCTCATTTTACAGGTGAGGGCAGAGGCCCAGAAGGGTCGGGGTGCAGGTCTCAGGTCTCACCCTAGACGGCAGCAGGTGGAGCATAGCCTGGTCATGATTCTGCTCTTCAGGTTTTGGAGAAACTCATTCTTTGTTTAAATCTTGGTGTTTTAAGTCTTGGTATTTCCAAAGTTTAACCCCACAAAAGAAAGCTGCTTGAAGAAGTCCTGGATGTTGTGCTCAGGGAAAACATTTCTGACCACCCAGCTTCAGGCCTGTGGTTACCCCTGCCTCTGCTTCCTCCTTCCGGCATGTGGGAGGAACCTGAGAAGTGTCCTCACCTGGCCTGAGTGGGCAGTTTGGCTCTAAAGCCAATTGATTCACCCAGACAAGCTGCAGCCGGCCTCCCTGGAGGGCTGTTCCCTGTGGCCCCCCATCTTGTTCTCTACACAGGGGAGTGCTCCCTGGTGTGACCCTCTAACTGGGGGTCAGGAAGTGAGGCCACCTACAGAGGGGTCAGGAGGAGGCTGAGGGGAGCTGCAACAGGAGAGCTGTGCTGATCTCCCCGCAGCATCCCTGGGTCCTGCCCTCCTTCATAACCTCAGGAGATGCCTGTTGAGGCTTTTTCAGATGTTCTATCTCCTGTTTTGTGTAATGTGGAGGAAGAATCACACTTGCGGACAGCAGGCACTGCACAGGGTTCAGCCCTGCACCAGGAGGGGCTGCAGTTCTCCCCCATCCCTCAAGCGCTTCCCTCAAGGAACTCATTTCAGAAAGGGGCCCCTTTCCTGGAAGGGAAGGCGGGAGGGGAAAGCCTGGCTGAATGAGCTAGTTCAGGAAAAGGCAGACAGGGTTATGGGGAGAAGGAGACAGGAGGAGAGAGATGGATTGATTGAGAACTTCTTAAGGAAGTGCGGGAACAAGGTCGCACTCACTCAGCTTTGTATTTTCAACAGTGCCTAAGACCAGACCCTCGAGAAGCAGGGCTAATGAATGAACAGGTTCCCCAACCTTGGGTGAAATGATGAGAGGAGTAGCAGAACAGAGCAAGGAAGCCAGTGTGACAGAGAGATGAAGGGATCAATGCCACAAAATTAAAGAGAACATGGGGGTCAGCTCATTCCAAATCCCCCACCAGGAAGTCCCTATCAGGAGGGGAGGAGGAGCTCTTAGGAACTGAACTGGGATGCAGCCCAGTTCAGTTAGAGAACATTTCTAAGAAACACCAGACCTCGTCTCCTTCCGGGAGCGGGATCCAACACCTGGCCAGACATATCGGTGCTAAACAAAAGTGCACTGGGGGCTGATTTTAAATTTCTTCTTTATTTAAAAAAAAGCATTTTTCTGGGTTTTTAGAACTTCTCCAATACATTAAAACTTTTTTCCCGCCACACAGCACTTCTTTCTTGCCTCTTTCACTTCTGCTCCTAGTGTTGTCTGCCTCCTGCAAGACCCAGATGAAACCTTTTCAATGGGCAAGATCTGAGACTTGGAGCTGGAGGGGCTGAAGGCCTGAAGGAAGGTGGTTACTGGTCAAAAGGAGAAGTTCACTTGCACAAAAATATAAACTGGGGAGGATGAGACCAGCACATACACGTATGGATTGATCTACAATCCATATAAAAAAATATACCGAAACTGTCATTTTACATTTGCAATATTATACAAAATAATATATATTTTTAAACAACACATACCCACCTACACACACGTGCGCACACACACATACACACAAGGTGCTAGTGACCCCTCTGTGCTTCTGCTTATGGGGACAAGGGTGTCAGTAGGCAAAGATGACGTGGTAGGTGACCTGGTGGCCATTGTCCCAGGCATAGAGCAGGCGGTCCTTGGGGTTGTAGTCTATCTGGGTTGTATAGGAATACTCATTCTCAAACAGCAGCCTGGGGACGATCTGTGTGTTGGTGTGGGTGTCGAAGGCGTAGGAGATGTTGGCGTTCCGCTGGTTGTAGCTGTCCACAGCGTACAGCACCCCGCAGATGACGAAGCAGTTGCCATAGAAATTCCTCCGGAGCCCCGTGCGCCATGTGGTCTCTTTCTGTGTGCTCAGGTCCGCGGCATTGAGCTTGCTCAGGACAATGACCTCCTGGCTGAAGCCCTCGTCGTCCAGGGCCGGGTAGATGAGCCATAGGCCATTCTCGTCCACAGCAAAGTCCACGTCTGAGTGTCCCTGCCATCGCCAGGGGGTGGCCTCCTCGTAGGCCACATCATGCAGCATGGCCCAGGCAGCCACGTAGCGCTGCTTCAGGTCGTACTTGATGATGTTGCGGGTGAAGGCGCGATTGTAGTAGAAGGCGCCATTGTATACCACGTGGCCTGTACCGATCCAGCTGTACGGGAGCTTGTAGGAATTGCTCCAGCGACCTGCAGGTGGGGAGAAAACAGGAAGCTTCAGGGTGGCATGGCAGAAGGTGGGCAGCCCATGTGATTAAGTGAGTGATGATCAACCAGGGGTCTGGAAACCCAGGTTTGTGTCTTGGCTCTGCCACTTTCTAGCATCCTGTAGCATATCACTCAACCTGTCTGTACCTCAGCGTCCTCATCTGTCATAGGGAAGTGACAATTCCCATCTACCTCTTTCTTTCAAGGATCCAGGAAGCTAATATACATGAATGTGGTTCGTAAATTGTCAAGGGCTATGGGAAAGGGAGGCGGTCTTCTGGACTGCAGGTTTTCCATGTCCCAGGAGCTCGGGAGGAGGGGAAGAGCTGAGAGGCAGAGAATGTGAGGGAGTGGGGAAGGGGGACTGCTCTCCAAGGAAAGGTCCTTTAGTCATCAGAAGAAAGGGTCACCTTCCTAACTGCCATTACCACCCAAAGAGGCCCGGCTGTGATAAAAACAGAGGATGTGGGGAAGGGAAGGAGCCGCCTGGGTCGGATCTTTATCACGCACCTTGTTTGAAGTTCTCCAGGTTCCGGAACTCTACCAGGGTGTTGCCGTAGTAATAGTTGGTTACGTAAATCCGCTCATCCTTGGCCAGGGGGTCCTTCATCCAGGCCCCTTCATTCCGCCCGTATGTGTTCTGGGTGGTTGGCCCCGTGATTGTGGAGAGAGTGTCCTTGCACCTTCCTGGTGGAGAAGAGGCAGATGGAGGTTTTGGGCTGATCTAGTGATGCCTCACCCCTTAAACCTTTGCTGTTCCTCCTATTTAGAGTCTGGACTCCATGGCAGGCTTTAACAGCTCTGTATAACCTGACCCCAAACATTTTTCCATACCATCTCCTGCTACTCCCCTGATCCACCCTACACTTGACCCTACACTTGAGCCTCCACCGTGCCCATCTTTGGCCACCTTCACACCACCATGCTTTGCTCCTGTTCTGACTTCTTAGTCCTATCCTTCAAAGACCTAAGATCCAGAGTCCTTTTATGACAACATGCCCTCCTCTGGGGACCTATTCTGTTTTATTCCATTCAGCTCTCAGGGTATCATGAATGCTGCTCTCTTACAGAGCATGTCATCCTGCGTCTCCACAATGCTTGTGCTTCTCTCTCCTCCCTCCACGCCCACCCCCAACTGGAGTGTAGGCACCAAGGGATGCGGGAATGTGGCTTTTCCTTATTACATTCTCAGTGCTCAGAACACAGTATCTGGCTTGCTGCAGGCACCCAAACGTCTGATCACTGGGTGAACATGCAGCATGAGAAGTACGGCCAGAGGAGAGGACTCTACTGGGTGTAACCAGGAACTCAGCTCTGCCAGCTGCTGAGCCGCTCCAGGCTGTGGGACCAGCCCTAACAGAGCAATGGCTATTCATGTCCCTGAGGCCCACCTGCTGTCCTAGAGAGCTGTCCCCAAGCCTATGCCCTTGTCACTACTGGGAGCAGGATGCCAGGGCTCCCTGCTGGGGAATTGGGGGGCAAGATACCAAGTTCTTGAATAAGGAGCTGACTCTGGGTATAGAAGCCTCCTTCAGAGATCAAGTCGGCCACGATGGGACAGGAACTTAGCAATATCCTTCTGACTGGCTCTGGACCCGGTGCCCAGGAGAGGTCCTAAAAGGCCACTGGAACTATACTGGGTTCTAGATGAAGTTGACAATCTGCAATGCTCATATGCAGTATTATTATTGAACATAGCCTTGAATGATAGTGAAGTCACATGTAACTACTAAGGGCATGTGCTCTTCCTGTCTTCACACTTGTGGATTATGGAGGAGGTGGGAAGAGGGCAGTGGAAGGGGGCAGTGAGAGAGCCACATGAATCTTACCCTCACACAGCTTCCTTACCGCCTGCTGGCAGCTGGGGCCAGCAGAACCCCTGCCCCACCTGCCATCAAGACTGACGACACAGATGGGTGATGAGAATAATTGGTCCTTGACACTCACGTGGGCAAAAGTAACAAAGACCCTACAGTTTGGATTCCAGAGTTCTCTAAATTCTAGGCCACCCTCATTTCCAAACTGTTCCAATCCGTTCCATCTATTCTGCTCCCCACGAAGTGGACTGAAGAAGGAGTCTAAGCCCTGCAGCTGACAGGGCGGCTGGGGGTGGAAGTGGCATGAACACTGTTTTGCAGGCAGGCCCCATAGTTGGGTGCAGTTGGCAGGGTTTAGGCAGCTCACTGTGGCATTTATTAGGTCCTGGTCTGACGGAGCGGGGAGAGATTCAGTCTCCATAAGACAAACAAAAGAATCTCCCTGTCAATGCCTCATTCCCCCAGAGCTGAGCTCATCTGTTCAAGACAATAAAACAGAAAACTCTGACTGAGCCCTGGCAGCGGAGATCTGATGGAAAACCTCTCATTGCCTGGATCTAGGCAGGGCCCTGGCTGCCAGTGAGGACGCCACGCTCCTTCTGCACTGAGGTGAGCCCTAGCATGCCATCACCGGGCAATCCTCTGCCCTGGCAAAGCCCAGAAAGGACACCAATTCCCTGTCCAGAGGCACCCCTGGCTCATGCCCCTAAGCCCCACAGATAGACATGAGGTGAGGTGTTTTCTGTCCGGGGATTGCCATGGCCACGCCACCTCTCTGACCAAACATAGAAATTGCAGATGGACTCTTGAAAGCCAGGACTCATCTGTGCAGCTCCAGCAGCCCTGAAAATCCCTGCAGGGTCCCGTCTCACACCGAGGCTTTGCAGTGGCAGGGCCCCAATGCTGGGCTATAGATGTGCCCCAGGCTTGGGCCAGAGGCCTGGCTCTGGTTTTGGCCCAGCCACCAACTCCGAAGTCTGTGTTGCCACTATAATGTCAAAAAGTTTTAATCTCTTCAGAAGTAAAATGATTGTAATGCATTCCCTGCCTCCTTCACCAGAGTGCATGGAGAGTCCCCTCTGAAGACGATGTGGCAGGCTGAGTAATGTCCCCTGGAGGGGACAAATCCCTGGAGCCTGTGACTGGGACAGAAGGAAACAAAGGGGACTTTGCAAATCTGATTACATAAAAAAATTCTGAGATGGGGAGACTATAGTGGAGTATCTGGGTGGTCCTATTGAATAAATACAGTCACAAGTATCCTTATAACACGGAGGCAAAGGGAGATTTGACCACAAGAGAAGGGGAAGCAATGTGATGAAAAAAGCAAAGACTGAAGTGATATGGCCACAAGCCAAAGAATGCTGGCAGCCACGAGAAGCTGGAAAAGGCAAGAAACGGATTCTCTCCTCAAGCCTCTGGAAAGAACCGGCCCTTCTGATACCTTGATTTTAGCCCTGCAAGACTCATTTTGAATTTCTGGCCTCCAGAACTGTTACAGAGTTCATTTCTGTTTTTAGCTACTAAGCTTGTGGCAATTTAGAGGCATAGGAAATGGATAGAGATGGAGTCAGCTTCTTGCGTTAGGGCATCCTTATTTCTGTAGGAAGAGGGGAGTCCCCACTTGCAGCTTCATTGTCCTGGTACTAGAACCTCAGGCTGTATTTTCACATGCCTTCAGAGACAGTAAACACTACTGCCCTGCGGACAAGCCCAGACAGGACAAATGCAAACGATTTCAGAGCATCTGAAGACAGGATCAAGGGGAGAGGTCAGTAAACCATGAGACCCAGACACATCACTGTGCTCTGAGAATCTGGGGCAGCTCAGATGCTCCCACACTTGGCAGTAAACCGTCAGCCTTGGAGAGAAGACACTGCATGTTGACAACTCTTCAAGGGGGATGACAGAAAGATGGGAGAAAGTTCAAAGGAACCGCAGAGAGGAGAGTGCAGTCTGCATCGCATCTTAGGTTTCCCCAGAGTAGGGCTGCCAAGGATGCCGGTGACGCTGACATTTACTACGCACTTTCTATGTATTCCGTCATTTAACCAACAGTCCTGGGAGGCAGCTGGCCCTGTTTCAAAGGTTACCTGGGTCTGAAAAGAAGGGGCCCTTCCCCTCAGCATGTAAACCTCCTCGAATCTCAGCATTCTAAAAGAAATAAATCAGCAAGCCAGAGCCTTCTCGGCCCTCCCCGGCTCTCAGCTCCGGTGCTCACTTGGCAAGCCTCCCCAGTAGGGTCCTTAGGGCATCTGCTCCCCGACCAACCTCGTCAGCAATGCCTCTCAGCCCCTCAACCCGACTGCTGCCCCTCGGGGTGCTCTCCAGTCCTCTTATTCTAGTCAAGCCTCTGCTTTTTGCTTGGAAACTGAGGTAGCCACCCTCCGCTCCTGCCGACACCCAGCCACCCACCTCGGAAGGCGTTTCCTTCCTCCCTTGGCTTCCACTACCACTCTCTCCTGGTCCCGCCTGCCTGCCTGGCCTTCTCCAGCTCTTTGGCTAGTGCTTCCTCTTCTGCCTGCTTTCAAATGTCACCCTCTGGAGTTCCACCTTCAGCCTCCTCTCTCCTCATTCCTCCTGCAGACTCAGCTCCTGCCAACAACTCAACCCAGGTCCTGATTCTGAGCACCATGAATCCATCCAACTACCTACAAGGCGCTTTCCTTCTGGGTGTCCTCCTGGCTCCTCAAACTTAAAGGACTGAAAATGGAAGTCATTTGCTTCAGTTCACGGCTTGCTCCTCCTGTATTTACTGTCCCAGAGAAAGCCATGGTATGCCTTCCACCAACCGAGCCAGAAACCTAGGTCATCCCTGACATCCCCTTTCCCTTCACCCACACTCCAACTCAGCACTGAGTAACATCTTGACCCTGATCCTCCACCTCTATGGCATAGTTCAGACCTTACCACCTCTTGCCTGAATCACTCCAATTGCTCCAGTTGGTCTCTCTGGCTCATCTCTGCCCACTTCTAACTTATTCTCCCCAGTATTCCCTGGCTGCTTTTCCAAGATGCACATCTTCTTAAACCCTTAATGACTCACCATCTCCAACCACCACGTGCAGCCCAGAGTCCTCATCCTAGCACATCAGCCCTTCCTGCATCACCATTCTTACTTGTTGTCATCTGCCTTCATTCAGAGGTCTCAGACTCAGATGCCTACACGGGTCAGGCAGCAACTGAAATGATGAGTCAGGCTGAGTGTGAGACAAAAGGTGCTGAAGACACTGTGGTGAACTGGAAGAGCTGACCTGAAGGCATTCAGACCCAACATAAAAACACATCTTAGGATGAATTTGGCCCTCAGGCTGTCAGCTTCTCTTGCCCATACCTAGCTGCTTGTATTCACTACAGTTGCCAGGGCTATGGTATTCACCATAAACCCAGGGCTGGCCTTATGGGCGTATGATCTGTGCAATCACACAGCACCCTTGCTCAGAAGGGCTGCCCTCCATTTAATGATCTGCTGTCGCCGTCTTGGACATCTGTTTTCACCCTCGAACTTGTATTTTATGTGAAGTCTGACAATGCAGCCTGAGTGTGAGCAGAGGAGAATGCAAGATGTGTGTGGTCACCTTCCTTGTCCCCCACTTGCATATAGGGTTTGCTATGCCTAATGAGCACAGAATTGCAGGTAGACCCACTACATGCCTGAGTTCAGTGAGATTCAAAGTGAGCACAAGGTAGGTGTGTTGCCTCAGAGGTCACATTTTCCATTTGAACCAGATCGTGCTCCGAAAGCAGAAAGAAGGCAGTGGTGTTCTAAGAAACACAAATGGTCAAGGAACCCTATCATATTCTTTCTTGTGTTATTTCCCTGTATCAGACAACAACTTATGCTGAAATTGATACAGAAGAAGAGGGAGG